TACATATGTAAAACTGATAAAAAATACAAAAGTTATTAACTTTTAAAATATATATCAAATTCAATAGTTATAATAAGGAATGATATTAAAATACAATTAATACATGTAACATAACCATAAATAATCAACATATTTATGGTAATTCGAACCTAATTATTTTTGGTTTGGAATTAAATTAAAATTTACTCAAGCCTAATAACGAAACATGTAATTTTGCCACATAGGATTCCGAAGCACCAGAAGCAGCCACGTAGGCTCAGCGCGTTCTGTATTAATATATAGGGGGAGGGGATATAATAGCAATAAAAAAAAAAAAAAAAAAACATGATAACTCCCACCCGAAATTTCATTTTTACTACTAATAGACGTTTTTTTTTTCTTTTTTGGAACTTTTTTTTTTAATTCTCCAGCATGTTTTCAATTTCAAAATAATTCCAAATCACTATGAGCATGTTTGTTTATTAAAATTTTTGAGTTTGTTTGGATTTTTTTGTTTGGTTTAGTTAATTTTGAAAAAGTGATATGGTTAGTTGTTAGTGGGTATATTAAAATAATATTTAAAATAAAATAATTAAAATTGGTTTGATGTAAAAGTAGGAAATAGAAGATGTGATGTGATGGTTAGTTAAAATAATGTGAGTGGATGAATAGTGAATCTATATATATATTAAAAGCCAATTTATTTACCAAAAATAGTAGCAAGAAAAGTCAACACACAATTAATGTATACCTTATTTGAAATACTATATGCATTAAATGCTTGCATATTTACATTTATTATCCAGATATGATCTTAAAGATTTTTTCCTTAAATAATTTATGCAATGATTTTACTGATATCCATTATAATTAATATTTGTCGAGTAATATTTTTTAACCTTTATTTAATTATATAAAACTAGTATTTTTTTAAAAAAAATAATATTATTTATCATTTAAAAGATAATGATCACATCATTAAATGATTTTATTGATGGTTAGATAATAAAATTATATTAGTTATTCTTTAAAAAATTTACTAAAATAAAAACCGGCTTAAGAAAAAAAATCCCATAACATCCGATGAGTAAAAAAAAAGTACGTAAAATCTTTACTAAAATAAAAAAGACTTTATTTATTTGTATTATTCCATAATAACATCGATTTAGTCAAAACAAATCTCATAATCAGTGAAGTCAAAAAATGTACGTAAAGCATATTTATACTAAAAAAAGGCAAATTCAAAATTTCTTATCTAATTTCTGTTTAAAGCATTTTATTTAATATTTATTTATATGAAATATTGGATAGGATTGCTGGATCTGAGTCAATTTTGAAATCGCGTTGTTTGGTATGAGAGGATTATCCGCATCTTATATCTGTCTAAAGCATATTGATTTATATTATTTAATTATATTATTTAATATTAATTTTTTTATCCATTGTATCAGTTTTGTCAAAAAAATCGAACAAACAAACAAATAAAAAAAGAAACGGGATTAATTACCTTCGACTTGTAAAAAATTTATGGGTGAACGTAAATATTTAACAATGCTGTTTCAAGTTCCTTAAATAATACTATAACTATGATGTTGAAATATAATCTGTTTTATGAGTGACGTAAATATGCTGTTTCAAGTTCCCTAAAATTTAAAAATTATGCTGTTTAAAGTTCCTTAAATATTAATATATTTAAAGTATACACATGTTGTAATATATTAAAGTCAAAACAGTGTTCGAAGGCTTTTGAATTATCTAAGTTAATTCATTTAAATGTTTAATCCCATTAAATCTTCAATCCATGGAATATTTTTACTAATCTCGTGAGCATGTTGTTTTGTTATTGTAATCAACTTATACACTATTTTACTAATAAATTATTTAATATCTATGTACAAGGAGGTCTTTAATAATATATAATTTTTTTTTTACAGATACTATTTTATTGTATAATTTTGTTGCGTACTATAAAACTTTTATTGAATATTGCATCTTATAATATAATATTCCCTAAATAAATATATCACGTGTCTCGCACCGATCCCGTACTATATATAGTACATTTTTTATTTATTTATATAATTATAAGGCTGGATAAATAACCTTAAAATTGTACACCACGTGCATCGCACGGGCTCTATACTAGTTAAGGTTTATGTGGTGTGTATAAATGATTGATTGATATTATTTAATTATATTGATAATATTGATGATAGTGGGGTTGAGTTAAAGTTGAGTTAAAAAAAAGTGGTTGAGTTAAAATGTGAGAATTTTTTTGAAAAATCTTATAAACAAACATGCTCTATATATCCAGTTAAAGCCCTAAATTTGGTATATATGTTTGAAGATTTGTGTATTTTTGAAAATAGAAAATGGAATATATATTCCACATATTTTATATATATCTAGTCAAAGTCCTAGTCTTACCTATCAAGATTTTTATTATTTTGGAAGTACTTTGAAATATATATTACTTTGAAGATTTTGTGTATCTTCAAACAATCTATCCTTTATCTAACCAATAAATTAAAAAAAGGGTACCAGTAATCTAGTAGAATTCATGATGAATCACTAATCTCAAACATATATATTAAAATTCTTAAATGATTTCAGTGTCATCTGAAATTTCAAAATATTAAAATTCTTTTTTTAACGGGATCAGTAATCTATTTTTCAACAACTTACTTAAACAATTTTAAAATATTAAAATTCTTAATCATCCTTTTTTTTTTTGAAATTATGATTTCAAATTAAATAAATTCTTATTACATGTACAACAAATTTTTTTTGAGAAAATATATAAAAAAAAGGGTTTATACTATCTCTAAAAACATATTGTCCTTATTTTTCTGTACAACTTAATTACTCTTTAAGCCGATCGATCAAGATATTACTATGCAAAATATATATATTCATATTTATCATTTTTTTTTAAAAAAAAAATTATATTGTCTCGATTGTTCGAATATACTAATATAAATAAATACAATACATGTTATTGGAGCAAATATTGTAAATAATTAAATAGATAACATTACCCATATCCCTAAATATGAATGTGTATATATATATGTATATATATATATTTTTAAATATTATATATTGACTAATAAATTAAACTATTATAATTAGTTATCATACGCATACATCAATATCATAAGCAGATTTTCTTGGATACATTTCATTTTATCTTAACTTATATATAATCACATTCCTAAGAAACATTAAATTTACTTATATATTTTTTAAATTAACTACATCAATAAATAATATTAATTCTACATTAAATATTTATCATTATATATATATAAAAAAAAAGAATATTGATTCTATAAGTGTTATAAATAGTAATGACATTAGACGACAATAAATTTTTGAATAAAATAATATTTGAGTATTATGATGAACTAAATTATGTAAATTTATTATTTTTCTATATTAAAAGATAAATATATACTCCCTCCTATTCATTATAAATGTCGTTTTGACTTTTTTGATTCATCCATTTTGTTATGTATCTAGACATATTAATGTCTAGACATATTAATGTCTAGATACATAATAAAATTCATATGTCTAGATAAATAACAAAATGGATGAATCACAAAAGTCAAAACGACATTTATAATGAACAGAAGGTAGTATGTTATAATATAATTTATATTACTATAAACGGGTCAGCGGTCTATATATTCTTAAAATAAAATTTTAGGTACGAAAGCTCCCGTGCATCGTACGAGATTCTCACCAGTAATGGTTGAATTCCGATGCTAATTATTGCATCTAGCACATACCTACAAATGGAGTTCTTTACTCCAACTAGGCATATTTCCCTCTCATCCAATATTCATAAATGCTGGTGCAAGAATAATATCCCAATATTCCACTAAGAAAAATGAGACAATTATACACTGATGTTAGATGCTGGAGCAAAAATTGCAAGGCTATAGGGCTATATATGACTGTAAACCCATTAAAAATAGTTATGTAAAAGCTGTTCACAGGTAAAAATATGAGAAATTATCATATCAGATAGAGACACTACCGTGCCACAAAA